TCTACTAATACTTTACCGTTAATTGTTTATTATACCGTCAATGTCTGTCTACTGATACTTTACCGTTAATTATGTTTATTATACCGTCAGTGTCTGTCTACTAATACTTTACCGTTAATTATGTTTATTATACCGTTAATGTCTGTCTACTAATATTTTACCGTTAATTATGTTTTACCATAGCCTACAGGTTGTCGGTACTCTACCATGCCCCATAGGTATCTATATCATGACTGATAGGCTTATAGTTTAGATCTATATCATGACTGATAGGTTTATAGTTTAGATCTATATCATGACTTACAGGTTTATAGTTTAGATCTATATCATGACTGATAGGTTTATAGTTTAGATCTATATCATGACTGATAGGTTTATAGTTTAGATCTATATCATGACTGATAGGTTTATAGTTTAGATCTATATCATGACTGATAGGTTTATAGTTTAGATCTATATCATGACTGATAGGTTTATAGTTTAGATCTATATCATGACTTACAGGTTTATAGTTTAGATCTATATCATGACTGATAGGTTTATAGTTTATATCTATATCATGACTTACAGGTTTATAGTTTAGATCTATATCATTACTGATAGGTTTATAGTTTAGATCTATATCATGACTAAAAGGTTTATAGTTTAGATCTATATCATTACTGATAAGTTTATAGTTTAGATCTACATCATGACTTACAGGTTTATAGTTTAGATCTATATCATGACTTACAGGTTTATAGTTTAGATCTATATCATGACTTACAGGTTTATAGTTTAGATATATATCATGACTGATAGGTTTATAGTTTAGATCTATATCATAACTGATAGTTTTATAGTTTAGATCTACATCATGACTGATAGTTTTATAGTGGTCTACCACGTGTTAAAATATTTTGAAAGCAACGTGACTTTTAGGTTTTCTATTGTCATATAAGATCAAAATAATGTTGTTGTTTTTGTCCCCCAGTTAAATGAATCGGATTTAGGCTATTGGTTGAAAATTCTACATCTAAAGCAACGTTCAGTTCTTGATTTTTATAGCAGTAAGATGTAATAACTGAGTTTGTTGTCTCACCCGTGGTTACAAGACAGTAAAGAATAGTAATCCAAATACTAAGAGGTGTAATTTAAACAACATATATTTAGAGAATGGTTCATCCCTCCTTACTTTGATTTCAAAACAAACTATTCCAGATCTACATGAGCGAATTTATCATTGTCTTTTTTGGCAAATTAATCCTGGTGTCGTGTTTACCGTCCAGCTTCTAAAATCACTGTGAGGTGTTATTAAATAATACTCTATCAGGAATGGGGTATCAACGGTGTAAAAATGTCGGGGAATATATTCTCTCGAGGCTCTATTAACTTCTTGCTTTTTAACTACGAAACAATAAGAAACAATATCTGAACAGAGAGGGCGCTGTCAGTTACCTCGTTAAAACAGAAAGGAGATCTTTACGAAGCATAAATTACTAAATCAATGTACACATAAAAAAAAACATGTGTTATTTGTACCGGAGTTAGGGCAATCAATCTATTGCTTCCTTTGTTCGCCAGAGGGCGAAGATACAAGCATTTCAACATTCTGGTCCTAACTCGATCCTCCCGTACGTGTGTGTGTGTATATAAAACAGACTACCACTGAACAATATTGGAAACTGTTTGAATGGCTGCGTAACATAAAAGAACTTGTTATTAAAAGAATGAAAGCCATAAATTATCCCTGTCAAAAGAACCTCAACGAAATATATATCGTAACTGTTTATCTATCGTACTGTGTATAATAAACGTTCTGTATTGAAGTTTATATCTGGTATATTTCCTTTCGTATGTATCAGAAAATGATCAACTAACGCGTAGATATTTCTGAAATGTTTAGAAAAGACTTCGTTGTTCAGCTATTGTTCCTGTAATTAATGAATGTGATCCATACAAATTTTATTTGTTCTTTTTAATGCCATTTACTTCCTTGCCAAACTTTTAGATAACCGTCATTGTTCCGGGATTTTACATCCGCTAATTGACGTTCATTTTACGCCACAAAGCTAGTAAATTCGATAGAAAAACGGGATATTTTTTCTTGTAACCGTGTATGTTTGTGTGTATAGAATAGTCGATAGATTAGGCCCAAGCTTTTAAAACTACATACATGTTCATAAAAAAAACAAAAACAAGTGCTTACGTAACATAAATGAATCTTAACACAGCAAGAAATAGTACTCCAGATTGCCGTACGCTAACTAAAGGAATTGTTATAAAATAGAAGTGTTTGATATTTTTGGTGGAAGTGGTCTGGTTATATTTGATACGCAACTTTTAAAAGACGTTTTATTTCTTTGTGCCCTTCCTAGAGTTCGAAACATTGTCTACTTCATAAAAAAACTTCGAACCCAATACATAATTGTTTTTAATATATCTGATACGGGCTAAGGTTTGCAATGCAACAGCATATCCTTGTTACCTGGGCCCCGGCATGGCCAGGTGGTTAGGGCCCCCGGCATGGCCAGGTGGTTAGGGCGCTCGACTCGCAATCTGAGGGTCGTAGGTTCGAATCCTCGTCCCGACAAATATGCTTGCCCTTTTAGCCGTCGGGGGGGGGGGGGTTATACTGTTACGGTCAATCCCATTATTCGTTGGTAAAAGTAGTAGCCCAAGAGTTGGCGGTGGGTGGTGATGACTAGCTGCCTTCCCTCTAGTCTTACACTGCTAAATTAGGGACGGCTAGCGCAGATAGCTTTTCGTGTAGCTTTGCAAGAAATTCAAAACAAACAAACCCTTGTTACCAGCTATGGATTAGAGCAACTCGTTAAAAATGTAGTTTGAAAAAGAACCACCTGTAACTAACTATACGTCAACCGTACTTATCACACGACAAATAATTGTAACAATACATTTTCTTCATATAGTTTGTCCGATATTGCATTTATCACGTATAATAAATTAAACAGAAATATATTTAATATACCTAAGTGACTTATCTGAACCGAGGCTTTAAATTTGGTTAGACTACTGAAATTAAGTCAAACGTTTAATAGACAATAGGGGTAATAAAAGTCTAGAAGATTTTGTTTAAATAACACAATGTGATTGGAATTTACATCTAATAGTACATTATACAGATGTTACTAAGGTATATTTCTAAATAAGACATATGAGCATTACATAGTGTATCATATTCCCCCTTGGCTTTCACTTATGGCTTCTCAGGATAACTGGAACTATAATTGATGTTTTCCCTAATCTTTGATGACTTCCTCAATTCGACGTATCACAGATTCGACTAATATTTCAATACTTTAGTGGTTATTATTATTCCAGGGTATTCCAAGACAACGTAAAATTTTTGTTGTTGTTTTAATCTTTACTTCCTGGTGAGATTTAGGCCTAGTGACTAAGTTTCATAATTTGGAGAACTAGTGAGCTTTAGGTCTAGTGACTAAGTTTCATAATTTGAAGAACTAGTGAGCTCTAGGTCTAGTGACTAAGTTTCATAATTTGGAGAACTAGTGGGATTTAGGCCTAGTGACTAAGTTTCATAATTTGGAGAACTAATGAGATTTAGGCCTAGTGACTAAATTTCATAATTTAGAGAACTAGTGAGATTTAGGCCTAGTGACTAAATTTCATAATTTAGAGAACTAGTGAGATTTAGGCCTAGTGACTAAATTTCATGATTTAGAGAACTAGTGATATTTAGGCCTAGTGATTAAGGTTCATAATTTGGAGTACTAGTGAGATTTAGGCTTAGTCACTAAGGTTCATAATTTGGAGAACTAGTGAGATTTAGGCCTAGTCACTAAGGTTCATGAGTTGGAGAACTAGTGAGATTTAGGCCTAGTGACTAAATTTCATAATTTAGAGAACTAGTGATATTTAGGCTTAGTGATTAAGGTTCATAATTTGGAGTGCTAGTGAGATTTAGGCCTAGTCACTAAGGTTCATGATTTGGAGAACTAGTGAGATTTAGGCCTAGCGACTAAGTTTTATGATTTTGGGAACATTTTCGTATTGTTTGTTTAATACATAATTTTCACACAACTTTGACGTGTATTTAAGACCGCTGTCTTCGTGAATAATATAGTTTTTGCCATATAAATTTCCTTCGCTATGAATAGCAGGGCGATGAAATATGGAACGATACTTCTATATGATTTAGATATAGGTAACTTACTGCTAACATCCAATCGCGTAGCTACAGAAACAGTCCTAAATTGGAAGAGAATCTGGACCGTATTTAATCACAATCAATAGTGAAAGTGCCACTGATTGGATTAAAACAACCCATGATTCAGCGAGGGGAGGGGGAGGTGTTAACTGACGGCTCATATTTAATGGTGATACTCGAATCTCTACAATTGATTCTTATAATATCTTATGATCTTATGTTTTGTTTTAATAAGATCCCGTGTACGTAAGTGAATTAGCTTAACAACTTACGACAACGTTAGTAGCTCAGCTTAACACGGGGGGTTAAGAAAAATCTTCACCAATTAAACAGCTCAGCTGGCCATTGTCATGAGCCTACTTGTTTGATTGTGTTTAAACACAAAGATGCACAAAGGGCTATCTGATATGTACCCACCGCAGAGATCGAACTTCAAACTTCACCAAGGAAGGAGGAGAGTTGCCGTGAGAAAATTTAACAATATAAATTTTATTTTGTCTGGCAGTTCAATTAAAAAAAAAAAAACTTTCTTAAACAGTTTACTTAACAACGTTGCTAACTTTACCAACCAGACTTCTTGAATAATTATTTGAAATTTTAATTAGCTATAGATAACTCATATCAACTTTAGTTTTCTTCGAGTTAAACTTGCCTGGTTTGTGTAAAAAGATCTCCATAATACGTAGCATATATACGTTATTGTGTACTTTTTCTATGTAGGCAAAACCTTTTTTAATAAGGTTAAGACTAACAGAATTGTTTTAATAAGTTTATTGGATATACGTTAAGGATACTTAATTCAGCAGTAAAAGTATATAAACAATTAGTTTATCTAAGAATATTTTAAAATTACTGTTTTATCAGTCTATTTAAGGTCGCTTCGTTTTTTTGTTGGACTTATTAATATAATTAATGAAGGAAAATTAACATTTTCTTCAAACTTTTAAGGAAAATTTATGTTGTTCACGATTCAGGGAAAAAAGCTATATTACTTGAGAAATTTACGTCTCATTACAGAGTGAAGTTAATTAGCAGTTTTGTCAAAAATAAAACTATCCGATAAAAATGTAATTTTTCACTTGTCAATATATAAAGTAATGTTATTAATAACGCTCTTTTCGAAGTAGCTGCTCTGTTTGTTTGTTTTTAACAAAGCTATGTTTTATTTCCTAGCCAGCAACAGACTTCTGGGTGACATGCTGTGCCTCGGCGGTGCCTCTCTGATCGGGGTGTCGAACGTGGCAGAAGAATACGCCATTAAAACATACAATAAAGTCGAATTTTTGGGAATGTTAGGACTATTTGGGAGCGTAGTTAACGGATTACAGTTGTAAGTTATACGGGATCAAAACGTCATTAAGTCATTCGTTATATTCCTGTCTTTGCAGAGCGAAATAAGTCATTTCTAACACGAGGAAAAACAATATCAAATTTCAATGTAACGTTGTAAGCACTAAATTTACAATACATACTAGATTATCTAATATTAAGTATTTTGTCAGTTTCTTAATTAGTAATTAAGCCCGTTTAGCTATACGACTACCAATGTCATGAAGTAACTGTAGTAGCGCGTGCCGTATGATACACTGCAATAAGTGAACTTCGTTTTAATTAATTAAGAGGAAACTTGAGCGTAAGCTCGTTTTATATTAACGCTCAGATAATTTTTTTTTTCAATTTTTGAAACTATCGTCTCTATAGATTACTTAAAACTTCTTAGCAACTCGATTGTTGCTGGTGAAAGTTGCCAAGTTTAAAGTCATATTTAATACTCTCGAAGAAAGAAACAGATTTGGTTAGTCATCAGGAGAAAATTTGTGGTAGGGCAGGTCGGTAAACTTCAATCAAAATGTCTACCAAAAATTAAACAACTAAGAACTGATATGGCACGTGTATTAAAGCTCGTGCCTGATTAGAAAAAAGTTAGATTTTTCTAGGATGCTTATAAACTAATCTATAAAATGAAAACATTTGTTCGGGTGTATGCTTGGTATTATATTATTGTTTGCAGAAATTCAGTTGTTTTAAAGTTTTATTTTCTCTCTCTTTCTGTAAAGAAATTTTTTTTATGTAAAAATGTAGAAAAATTTTCATCACTTATTTTGAAGGACTATTTGTTCTTGTTGTTTCAGATCTTAACATTGAAATTCGACTAAAGCCCTTGGCAATAAATAATTGTTTAATTCTTTTCAGAGCCATTTTAGAAAGGAAAGAATTAGCTGTGATAAATTGGGGAAAACTGGAACAAGGTAAGAAATGGATCGTAAATAAAAAAAATTATTAAATTTTTAGCGATCCTGAATCATTATCTTTGTATATTGTACATGAGATTAGAAAGTTTTCGTTTCTGGTGTTTGTTTTCTCATCTAAAGGTTTGATTAATGAGATGGAAATGTATTGAAAGCGTAAACAACAAAAAAAGTGCATATTAACAAGGCAGACACGAGATAAAGAATCCTAGGGGTACAAAGTGGAGGTTAACTAGGATGCCTCGTAAAGTCAGCTTTTCCGCGAAACGAGATCCGTAAAAATTCATTATTGTGTTTTCTAGTTACAAAAGAAAAAAAACAAACAAACTAGGATACACCGCGAATATTAGTAGCTCAGATCTTCCTATGATGTTCAGGATTAGTGCAATCATTAATGTTTTGATATTTTTATTTAAGACGCCAATGAAATCAAATAATTACGGTAAACTGATTTAATAGAGACGTAAGAGGCAAATTAAAAGGGGGGGGGGTAAGGTGTATTTGATCGAGGGAATCGAGAGAATGTCCAATATACAGGTCCACCCATTACGGTCGAAGTCCAGGGACCACCTTCGGGATCTGGAAGCTCTTGAGTTCTGGATTAAATTTTATGCATTCTCCTGCTTTTCCTCGGGGTAATTTTACTAATATTGATGTATTTTTACTGAAACACTATTTAACAGAGTAGCGTTGTTATATGATAATTGCCATTTAATTATTATTATTATTTTGCAAAAATATTAACACACTTTGTTCTAAGGAATGCCATATTTTCTTTTAATTCAATAGATCGATATTCCAGATGCTGTTTCGTCCATCTAACCTTCTTTCTGTACAACTTCCCCTTTTTTTTAAAAACTGATTAAAAATGATTTTCTCGGTAGTCGAGTTAAGTTCTAGGTTTATTAACCATTTAACATATACTCTCTAGATTGGAGGGCAGATCTGTTGGCTATTTTACTACAAATATTAATACACTTTGTTCTAAGGAATGCCATATTTTCTTTTAATTCAATAGATCGAGATTCCGAATGTTGTTCCGTCCATCTAACCTTCTTTCTGTACAACTCCCCCCTTTTTGTTGGAACCGATTAAAAATGATTTTCTCTGTAGTCGAGTTAAGTTCTAGGTTTATTAACCATTTAACATATACTCTCTAGATTGGAGGGCAGATCTATTGGCTATTTTACTACAAATATTAATACACTTTGTTCTAAGGAATGCCATATTTTCTTTTAATTCAATAGATCGAGATTCCGAATGTTGTTCC